TTCATTGATGAGTTGAACCATTACTTTTCCTTAAAATGCTTTTGTCCGCATGCACATACATCTAAGTATACATGTGCCTCAGGTATCAGAGCCCTGAAATGTTTTTTTTTTTCCCCTCACCTTGTCTGTCGGAGCACAATTTGCAATTTTGATGCTTTTCAGAAGAAATGGCGCAGTGCAGTAGTTGGTGATGTTTGAGGCGCCAGGAGCAGTTTCTGATGTACTGAATTCTGTAGCATCCTCGTGAAAGCACACCGATTAAATGTGATGGTGTTCTTAAATAGTGGGCTTGGTGGGATGGGAATCAGTCACCATTTGGGTGGTTTTTAAGCTCTGAATTATACAGAAGGCAGAGAAATGACACAAGTAGAATTAATAATACCTGATGTGTAACTTCAGTCCTGTTTGTAACAATTTTGCAAACTTTTCAAGTACTGCCCAGTGAGCATGACTTTTCAAATACTCCGAATACTTCAGGCTAGTTTTTCTTTTGCAGTGTAACAGTGTTGGGTTTTTTTATTTTTGATTTTTCTGCAATGCTGCAAAATGTCTTTCCATTATTTAATTAGCTTAATAACAGGCGTCTATGTATAGAATTTGGCAAATGAAATTTCTGAAGGCTGTGGATGGCAAGATGTATTTTTCCCCAAAGAACGTGCTCATTATGGATTATTTGCATCGTTGCTGTGGCACAGTCTAGTTACTAAGGTACCAGCTTTTGGTTTTGATCTGGTACTTCCCAGTTGCTGTCCTTGTGACTCTGAAGGGACGTCCGTCTATTCCATACTTGTTTTTTAAAAGCTAAAAGTAACATGTGTACTAGTCCTTCCAGCTACAAAGTGATAATCCTTCTAAGCATGAACTTGCCTGCCTGCCCTGCTGAGGAAGGGTAGCTACCACCAGAGCTGAGAAGAAAAGCTAACTACCTCTCTGCAGAGCAACGCAGTGGTCCCAAAGATGAAGTGATCATTCGGGTAGCAAAGCAGTTTCGTTTATAGAGGATTAACTTAATGAGAACGAATGTCCAGCTGCTCTCACACAGGTGCTGCAACTTGCTTTCCTCCAGGCAGTTTCCTGTTTCCCTGTCCGATGCTTCACCCCTACCTGTTTGTCAGAGCATTTTATTTCCTTTCTATCTTCCGCCTCCCCACTGGGGAAGCTTACGTAGACTACTGCCACCATGTAAAGGAGAAATTTAAGCATACAGGCATTTTTTGGGCACAACCATGGGACCACACAGCCTCTGCCAAGTCCACTGTATGCGTGCTTTTCCCTTGACTCCCCAGGCTGACAGAGTAGTATTCTAGGAGAATTTAAAAGCGAGTTTTGATCCAGGTGCTTTTGAAGTCCTAGGCTGTGTATTTGAAAGCAAAATACTTGAGTATCCTTAGGACTCACGGTTCAAACAATTTCTGGCTTGAACATGTTAAAAAGGATAAATGAAACCGGGCTTTTTGTTTTTTCTTTTTTCTTTTTTCCCCTTGTATGCAAAGGCATGTTCTCCTTTATTTGAGATCATATGATTTTAAATTTTTTTCCCAGTTAATGCATTGTTTTAAAATGTTTCAGTCTGCTCTCCTGTATTTAAATCATCCTTCTATTTACAGTTGAGCAGGCTGACAAAAATAACTGTGGTCTCATAGTGAATCAGTGGAATTTTCCTGCATTTCTCCCCTGATGACTCGCCTGACTCCTAGAGAGCCTCAACGCTTTCGCATTTTTGCTTGCAAGAATGAGGTGGTTTCCCTCCTGCATTTCTGTATTTTTCCCTGTCTTTAAGTCTCACTGGGATTTGGTTTTGTTTACTACACAAACAGTAGCTACAGCGTTGCGTATCGGGTCATAGATCACTGCCTGAAATTAAGGTTGCTGCATGCCTTATTGAGGGTGGATTAAAAAAGCCCCACAGCCTCATGACAGCTGATTTAAATGTGTATATTTTGGGGGGAAGAGGTTCCAGATCTCCTCAGGGATTGCATTGTCAATTGTGTTTGGTTATTGCTTTTGCAGCCGTTACTTTCTTCTCCTTCTTTAATGAAGAAATAATAATTTTTTTTTTTACGCTGGCCCTCTTTTCCTTCTCTCTTTTTTTTGGCACAGGAAGGCAATCGTTGCTTGTTAACGCTGAAGATTGGTGGTTGTTTTTAAAAACTCGCATTGTCCCTGATTACTGCAGTTTCGTATCGTCAGATAAAACACCTATTCTGCGAGGAGTCATAAAGATATGCTGTAACAGCTCATCCTCCCATCCCCCCCTTCTCCTTCAGTTATCAACAGTGCGTCAGTGGAAATTTCCACCCTTTACTAATGTGAGAGAAAGCACAAAGTTGCAAAGCAGCCTTTGGAGGAAAAAAAAAAAAGATATTGCCGTTTTAGGAACACAATGAAAAGCAGCATAGGACTTGCAAGCAGAAATTAAATTACATTCTCGAGCAATGGTGAGACTGAAATGGTGCAGAGAGCACGGTTTCCAATGGGAACGAATGCTTTTCCTATGGGAAGGGTATGTGAAAGGGGTAGTGGGGCACCAGCTAGAATTTCTCCCCCCCATCCTCCTTTCTGCCACCATCCTCCTTTCTGTTCGTTGCAACTGTGAGAGGATTTGGAAGGCTTCTTCCCAAGGAGAAGAGTTAAGTGTCATCTGTTAAATTTACCAGTGGCTTTTAATGGCTTTAACAGAAAACACAACTTTCCCTTTTTAAGGGGTGTGCATCCTTCAGATGTTGCTGTGCAGTATTTCTAACAAATTGTCCAAGCTTAAAAACTGTTTCTCTCCCTAAACTTTTAACTGGGTGGCACCTCTCTATTCTGGAGACCAGAAAATGGTAGGCAGTTTGGTTTTCGAATATATTAGGCCAAATCCTGTTCCCCATTGAAGCCTGTGGGGATTTGCGAGGAGGACTGAGCCCAGCAGAGTCCCTCCAAATCCTTCTTGAGGTCAGTTATTCCTGTAGTTCTCGGTAGCTGTGCTGCAGTTGGAGGAGCAGCACCTTCGCTGACGTGACCTGGCACTGGTCCCTTGGCTTCAGTGAGGCTCGGCCACAGCCCGCACCAGCTGGGCATCTCTTCCGGAGCACTCGTTGCTTCAGTACGGGCTGAAGGGACATTATTTTTTTCCCATCAGACCCCTCACATATGAGAATTCAGTGCTTCAGTCTGGTCTTTCTGAAAAAGACTTCAGAGCTGAATTGTGGCTATTAAGATTTTCAGGATGAGGATGTCTGGCTATGAAGAAGTTTCTTCGCAGTGTTTTCCATGGGTGGGTTCCACCCCTATGCAGTAATCCAGCACACGCTGCTTGAGTCATTTCTGGCCTGATGGGTCTGCCCTGCGTGTAATATTTTTGGTGTAACAGATTTAGTTGGATGAACCTGAACTCCATGCAGCATGAAGAGCAGGAGTGTGTCTGTTGCTCGTTACCCCATCCTTCTGTATTTCCTGTTCAGACTCAAGAGTTCAGCTTCTGCTTTTGGGGACTTACTGCTCAAAATTACGTTTGTGAAGGTGGACTGTGAAGTGTGATGCTCACGCTAAGTTGCCATAGTCCGAATCCATTCCTCTTGCAGAACAAGTTCCTCTCTGTTCAGTACAGTTTTAAAATCAAACTAGGATGCCTGATCCTGCTTGGGTAATTTGACTTCATTTAAGGGATATCGCTTTCAGGTTATACTGATGCTTCATGGGGAGGTGTGCTGGAGTGGACTAGGAGGAAGGGGGAGGTTTGATAAGAGGATGTGGAAAGATTGAATTGAAATAGCTGGGTGGGAAGTGCTGTGCTGTACATTTAGCCTTTAAATTACTGCTAGTCTTGGAAACGAGGTGAGTGGTTAGTTCCCTTCAGTAGGATTTCTGAGGCAGGTGTGGTACCTTTTTACTATACTGTAGTTAGGGCCGTGCCAAATGCAGATGAAGTGATTAAAAAATGTTCTGGTTACAGCTCTGTTGACAATGCTGGTTTGTTCACAGCATTTCAAGGGATGAGGGATGGCCAGTGACGTGGCTCCCTCATTTTCTGCATTAGTGCGATGGCTGGCACTGAGTCACTCATAACTTGCAGGAACAGTAGACATGATGTTGCTAATGAATTTAAAATACATCTCACGTTAAGAGACGGGATCTGAATTTGCGTCTGTGAGATTAAGTTAGTGCGCAGTGGGTAGCTGTGTCCCTTGTCTGAAGTGGGGCTCATGAAGTGCAGGAGACCTCTTTGCTTGTTTGGGTGTAGTGAAGTTTTAAAACCCTCTTGCAAAATTACAGTTGAGCTCATGAAGAAGGTGCAGTTCTTCAGCAAAGGAGTTTATTGCAGAAGTAACTTCAGTGACCTAAGATATTAATGGGGAGCAACGTTCTCCTTCCAGTATGGGGAGCAACGTTCTCCTTCCAGTAGGTAGGCGGTCAGCTTTTTCTTTAGAGATGTCAAAGATAGCTGTGAGGTGGACACAAAGCGCTTACCTGGAACAGTGCATTTTGTACGTGCTGTGCATGTGTGGAAGTAAGACCTTTTCCGTCCTGCCAAGGTCAGCTCTGAGGCGGAACTTTAAAGGAAGGAATGTGCCTGTATGTGTATAAGCTTGAGATGTTTCTCATTGGCACCTGTTTCCCAAGGAAACAATGTTGGGGATTTGAAGAAGGAGGATGCATGTTGCAACTGAAATGAATGTGCCACCCTACCTTTTTTTTTTTTTTTTTTTTTTTTTAAATGTTCATATCGAGGTGTGGAAATGAATGGAATGGGTACAAGAAGAGTAAGCTCTCTTTAATCTCCTTGAGTAAGCAGTGCTGTACAACAAAGAGAAGTTCAGGCTGAGCCTACTTCAATCAAACTTTTCTTATTTGAAATCGAGATAATCCTGAGCTTTCATTTAAAACAATTCTGGTACCAAAACGTAAGAAAAATTTAGAAAGTTTCGTTTAAGAAATCCCACAAAACAATAACTTGAATTAAAGTTGTTGCAGTACAGGTATTTTTCTTTTTATTGTGTGTATGTTTCTCATTGCAGGTATTTTTTGATAGACTTAGAGGGCCCACCTTCGATTGTATCGACCATGATGGATCATTTAGGACGTGATATTGATATAATTAGACGTGCTTTTGTAAAGCATCCTGTATCAAAGACAGAAGAATGCAGTGGCATAATCCCGGTCAACTATGAAGATAAACTAATTGCCAAGAAGAAGTGAATATCCCAAATAGCATGTTTAAAACCTTTAAAAAATTTTTTTATTCCTGCTTTGGAAAACAATTGTGATAACTGATGTCCATCAAAAATAATCAGTTTTGGCCATGTATGTGGTATAGGACACTATTTTAAGTTATTGTAACGTTGTTTAAAATAATTTGAATAGGCTTAATCTGTATACTTATCTTGATATTTGACATATCTGAAAATTGATTTTCTTTTCTCTTAGAGCATTACATTGATAATGAAGATTTATCCATCATTGGAATGCTTAAAAATAGCATTCTTTTCCAAAGACAGATTACTTCAGAATATGTATATTTACATAAGAGATTAAGAACTCTACAGTGTAAATAAAGCAGTATAGGATGTGATTTGTTAGAGGTTTTTTTTTTTTTGCTTGTTTTTGGAAAAGGTAATAAAAGTGTGATTAAAAATAAAACTTGACTCATTTTTTTTAAAAGCAGTAAAGGTACAAGAAAAAAATAACTTGCACTGCCAAAAGACACGTCATACTTCCTTTTTTAAGGTAATAACTCTGTTCAAAGTACAGGTAAAAAATTATTCTCTATAAAAAAGGCCAGAAACTTCCAGGTGGCAGCTTAGAGAATAACCATGCTTATATATCAACAGAAGAATAAAAGATGCTTCGTTTTACCATCAGCTAGATCCAGGTGGACATTTCAAACTAAGAAAAACGTCAGGACAAAGGTCTTAATGTATATTTTGTCTTTCTTTTGCTCTTGTGGAAACAGGAGGAAAAGCAATGCACATAAAAGATGACATCGATGCAGTACGACCTCCTGCAGGTCTGACAATTCAGTCTTTTCCAGAGGATCTCCATATTTCCCCCGTGCTGCTGAATGAATGCACTGGCCTTTTCTCCTTCCAAAGGAGTGTGTTTGTATAGTTATTTCTGTAGAAGAAAGTAAGTTGACACTGATACGTTGCTATGCAAAGAGGGTATTCTTTATGTGAATGAGCTTCATCCAGAAGCTGCCTTTTCTGGCACTCGGCGTTGCGTGTTGCTGCCCTGGTTTGAGGTAAAACAGAACCCATAGGCCAAGAGCAGATTCCCAGAGACCTGTGACAGGTCCCGTTGGTGTGACTGCTCTCCAGTGTGCTATATCATCACGAGATTGTCTCTTTCGTGGAGGCTGCTGGGTCATTTTGGGAAGGGGGGAGGTGGGAATGCTGCTTTCTTCCTTGGATGCAGACCTTGGGGGAGGCAAGGGAGAAACCAGTGCTCCTTCTGAGGAAAAAGTGCATTAGAAAAATGAAAGAGGAAATTTTCTTTCTGTACATCTTTAGGAGACGTGAATGCCTGTGTTTTTGTGGATTTTGGTGTTTTTCTGGTGTTTTCTCTGCTTTTAAATCTGCTTTTCTTTTCAGAGCACACTGTCACATTTTACCTCTTCTTTCCTGGAAAAAATGTTGGAAGAATAGAGGGAATGCACTACATGCTTACTGAAGCTGGATCTATATTACACGTGCTTTTATTTTTGTAGTTACTGCCAGTTTCGATCATGTGGTTTCTGTCTGCACCGGTACCTGCTCCAGGCAGAGCTTTTATCAATGATTTTTGCTTGTAGGACAGACAACTTCCTTCTGTGCGGGTGTGAGCTTAGCCAGGAGGAGCCATAGGTTTGTAAGTCTATACCACGGGTTTGGCTCCCTGAGCTGCCCTTTCTGGTGGGCTGCTGAAAATTCAGATTCGCAGCGCGGTAAGCGCAAACTACAAGTAGAGAAATACAGCATGCTTTAAAGAATATGTCTGACTCAAAAGTTTCTCAGAAGCTTTTCTCAAATAGAAAGTGAACAGAAAGCCTATAGTTTAAATTCACTTTGCCTCTGGCTAGGACTTTGGGCCCTAGATTTCATTTGAGTAGAAAGGAGAATATATAAGCTTTCAGCTTCACAAAATGAGGACGATTGTCAACAGAGGCTGTACACATATAAATGAAGTATGTTTGTCTTTATTCAATTTCCTGTAGCGTAGTATTAAATTTTTCATTTAATTTGTTCCATTTTCTAGGTTGATGCTTGCATTCAGTAGGAAAATCCTAGATGCTCATTAGACATAAGCCCATCAGCTTATTATTAAATATGTGACATCATTGGTTGTGTATTAGGACGTTTGGTCAGTCAGACATTTATGCCCCTCTTTTCTGTGGGGCCCATTTCTGATCCTAGCAGAAGATCGATGGATGTCAGGAGCAGAAGACTTGGGCTCCTGAGTCCAACTCATCCCAAGAGTGGATCAGCAGCCGCACATCTTTCGATGATCCCTCGGTGATCAGCCGCAGCTGATCCCAAAGAAACCCAGCAGTGCCGGCTCTGAGGGAGAGTGGTCTCCAGCAGGCCACAGAACAAGGTGTAAGGAGATGATACCATGGCTGTTTTCCTGTCTTCTGAAGTACTAAATGTGCAAACGGGAGTGACTGAAAGTCATCTTGGCCTTTGGGGTAGAAATACTGACCACTGAAACTAGTGGCCACAAGCAGAGCTGCGCTTGCCGGGCTGGTGCATGGTTACATAAGCACTGGTGCTTTCTCAGCAGCAGGATTTATTTATAAAAAGTGTGCTGAATAGCTGGCTCTCAACTGGATGTACTATTTTCTTCATAATTGATAGTTTCTAATATGAACTTTTTTTTTTTTTTTAATAGGGGGTAGGGTGGGGGAGGCTAAGGAAGAAGTCTTGGGTTGCAATTTGTTTAGCCCAGTCAGCCACCCAGACTGGTAGTTAGTTATTTTGGGAAGCTAATGCATAACAGTGTGCGCCTTCTCTCTCAATAGCTGCAAACGCAGGAATGGACACTGGAGTACATCAGAAGATTTGAGCAGTTCTGGGTTTGAGCGAACAGTCTGAGTTGTACCATGGAAGAAAGGGAGTAACTGTACCCTGAGGGGCCATAAATTCTCCTTGCAGAGGAAGGGAAACCTTAGCACGTCTTTCAGATGTGTTTGCCTTTTTGATCGTCGATAGCGGGTTTGTCCCTCTGGGCTGTAAGCAACTTTTGATGTCCAAGAATAAAATTTCAGGATGCTATGTGGTGTTGCTGGAGAGCCAAAAGAGTCTGTGCTGCCAAACCATGACCAAATACCTAAAATGTCAAACGCCACTGGCATTACCAAAGGCCTAAACAGTTTGAATACTAGTACTTTAAGTTTTGTTTACTAGAGAATCCGAGAGTGAAGCTCTTCAACCCTTCCTTAGATTATGTTCCCAAGTGTATAAAATAAGTAGTTTTATGCTGCTAGATGCTCTGTTTTTCTTGTTTGTGGATTGTGGAGAAACACTGAGTTGGGTAAGTATTAAAATAACAACTGGCAATTTTCCTGGCTCGGGAATGTTCTCTCCATCTTAACCTTCAGCAAACAAATGAGCACAAGTGGGTTTATGGTGAAGATCTTAGGTATGTTTTCAATCAGTCCTTTTTTCTGATCTTTCTCAGCTGAATCTTGTGCTTTGGAGGTTTCTTCAGCAGACTGAGGGCTCTGCACGGTCAAAGCACTCAGCACTCTGCTTGCAAAGCACTCGCGGTGGCCACTGGCTTAACCCCAGGAGGTTTGTGCATGCAGTGATTTGCTTCTGTGGATCCAGAGCCTGTGCGTCTTCCGTACATCTGACTAGCCTGTCAAAATCCTGTTTGTTGATAGTATGAGCTTAAAAGAATTTCAGGATCCTCAGTGTCAGCAGAATATTTCTGTTGCTAAATGTTTTAATGGCACTCTGAAAATCATCTTTCAGCTGGATTTCTACTGACGAGTAAACTGTTGGAGCTGCGGGCTGAGCTGGGTACAACAAATGTGCAGGGATGTATTGCTCCGGAAATCATCTGAGGAGCAGTTAGAATGGCAACAGTCAACGTGACTCATGGGCTCCTACTGTTGAATCTAGGCTTTGATCACTGAAACATCACCTGTCACTGGATGAGATCAGTTTTTCTTTAGTAAGTTGCTCCACTCTGTTGTGAAGGACGACTCTGAAATTTAAAGCAGTCCTGTTGGGAGTCATAGAAATGTCTCTTAAGACATGCCCAGTCTGCCCCGCGTCATTTCTGCTGAGGGAGGCTCCTAGGATCTGTCCAGCACTGCCACTGTCTCCAGCATAAACGTTCAAGAACCATACGGCAAACCCCTTCAGGTATTTTGAACTTGTGGCACGTAATCATGGGCTTAAAAATCGTAAGTATTGTTTAAAATGTGAGGTTCTTTTTGTTGGCCTTTTAGATTTTATGATTCACTTCTTTCAAACTTTGTTGCTGGCATGATTTGCCCATAACATCTGACTGAGGAGCTCTCAGAAAAACACAACTATAGCAAATGAGATGCTTGATGAATTCATTGGGACTGGTGCTATGTCCCTCCACCCACTGAAACAGAACGAGGGGAAATTAAAAAGGGAATCATTATTTGTCCTTTCCTAGAATTCTGAGGTTCAGATAGGATCAAAGTGAGAATTGATACGGAGCCAAAACATGCATTTTTCCAACTGCTGCACGAAGGGAAGATTAAAAATGTGTCACCCTCTGTGACCTATGTAATGTGTTGCTTTCTTAGTGCTGCTTCAACAGACCTTTACAAACATAAAAACACGCAGGCTGCAGCTGGTGGACTACCTTAGGCTAATGCTGCTCCTCTTTGCACAGCTATTTGTGCAACACTGCGGAGGAGTGGGAGAGTCACCACTTATTGAGTGCTGGTTAAGAGGGGGAGTGATGCATTGACAGATTCCAGTTCTGGAGTGAGTATTCAAGGTTGCCTTCTAAAAGCATTTGTAATGGGAGGTAATGCTCACTGTAAGCCTGGGAGAGTTTTCGTCCCTGTTATTTTTGCACTGTGCTTAGGCTGTCAAGTCAGCCTTGTTTGGAGAATGCTAACTGGCACATAGAAAACCTGGCTTATTAAAAACCTTCAACGCGTTTATGTTGGGGCTACTTTTGGGGGATAGTGCGTCTCCACTGAATCAGTAAGAGACTTCTGGCTGAGGTCTGTAGGAGCAGATGTATCCTGACAGTATGATGCACTTTCTTCCAAAGGGCATCCTTTAGTCACCTTAGCAGGGTTTGCAATCTTCTGAACTTTTGCTGATGAAGATTCACGCGGCGCTTCCACGCAGGGGCTGGTTACTGGAGCTG